GGGGGTAGGAATCATCAATTTTATGAACGGAACTCCGTATGGGGGCAGTGGCTTCCGTGGCTCATACCCTAAAGGGGTCCATGCAATCCTTCCACTGCTCTCAAATTAACTTCCAATCTTATACACAATTTTAAACAATGTTATTAAAACCGGACCGGACCGGCCGGTCCAACCGATTGGACCGCGAACCGGACACCAATCGAGTCCGGTTCAACATCAAAACCCGTCCTTGCATTGACCCGTTCAAACCCGGAAGAACCTTAGATCAAGGCTAGGCAAGAGAGCTCTTAACCAAATGAGCTACTACAGCTTTTGCTAACTATGCCATGCAATGTGGAATATATTTGCTTCTTAAACTATTTAGAGAGTAATTTTAAAAAAACTTCCAATTATTTAAAAAAAGAACTATGTTTATATAATATATTTATATTGTTAATTTTTAAAGTAGTTCAAACTTAAATATAATTAGTATTATTTATTTTTTATCTTAAGAAAACTATAAATAATCTATACTTAATGTATTATTTTTTATCTTTAAATTATTAATTATAATTTAATATGCTGTTTTTTTATATTTTCAATCATTTTAATCAACTAAAATATAAATTTTACTCCGTAAAATGTAACTAGTAAATAAGAACATATTATCTATTCTTTATTTTTTAAAAATATGAGTATTACCTTATAATTTAAGTGCGTGTTAGACATTCACTATTAATTTTTTATAATAATAAAAGTAATAGAAAAAAATAAAAATTGTGCAATAATATATGCACAATGATATTAAAACTAGATGGAGAAGTAAAAACACAAGCTAAATACTTTTTTTAACTAAAAATATCTAATGATATAATATAAAATATTGGTATTTTAATTATAGTTTGACTGGGTCGTTGACCCAAGTTGACCCCGGTTCAACCGGTTAACCCTTGACCCAGTGCTTTGTCCGGGTCGACGTCTGGTCCGATTTTCAGAACATTGATTTTAAATGGACAAACTAAGATATGACTATTTTGTAAGAATGATTAATTAACGGTGGGGTTCTAGTGACACCGGAGTACGGTGTCACTCCGGTGCCACTGGCATTTTGGGGCACCTCCGGTGCTCCGTTCGCAAAATTGACGGTTCCTATCTCCCCTAACTCACCCCCTAAACCTCCCACCCTACCCCCGCCCCTGCACCCCCACCCCGTCGTAAGCCCCCCACAGAATGTGTGGCTATTATGGGAATGCATAATAGCCACACATTTTGTGGGGGCTTACGGCGGGGTGGGGGAAGGGGTGTAGGGGCGGGGGTAGGGTGGGGGGTTTAGGGGGTGAGTTAGGGAGGGTAAGAACCGTCAATTTTGCGAACGGAGCATCGAAAGTGTCCCAAAATGCCAGTGGCACCGGAGTGGCACCGTACTCCGGTGTCACTAGAACCCCACCGATTAAATAAAGCTCAAATTCCAATTTGGAGATTTTGGCATGCTATTAAGACGAGCAATTTTGTCCCCTCCAGTTCATCTCCTTTTCCGATTTTTTTGGGGTCTAACCGTCTAAAAGCATGTGTCATAAATTTAATAAAATTGATATTACTATTAGATTATGATACAAAAATAATTTATTAAAATTTTATTTTTCTAATTAATATACGGAATACCATATAAATATCATTTATTTAATTATAGATCAAATGTTATTCCTAGCCGATAGTAAAAAGTCAAAATTGAAAAAACATTTAAGAACGGGAGTATGTTTTTTCAAAGAAGTCCGTTAAATTATTTATATTTTCTAGGATTTCTATTATAGTTAGAAAATTTTGTAAGCTTTAGGGGATATATTTTAGGATCAATTTGGTTGGATAAAATATTTTCCCAAAATGTTTTTGGGAGAAACTAATTTTTCATCACATTTTCTATTGTTAGGCACAAAAATTGTTTCCCCAAAAAAATCATTTTCCATCATTAATATTTGAAAATTGATTTTTAAAAAAATATTCTAAGACAATTTAAAAGTATTTTAGTAACATTGGGGACAAGCAAGGTGAGATGACGGTGGGGCGAGGATGGGCGGAGGGGAGAAGGTGTAGAGTCATGCAAGGGTGGGGTGGACAGGAGCGAGGGTAAATAGAGAGTGGCAGAGTAGGAGGGGGTGAGGGGTAGGGGTTGCAATGTGAGGGGGGACAAAGGGTGGCAGATTAAGGACCCGTTTGGCATCAGCGTTAGAGATTAGTATTAGCGTTTTGACAAGGTTATCCGACGATAGCTTTTAGCATTAGCATTTTCAAAATTAATCTAGATCGTTAAAATTATATCCAAAACGCTAACGCTAATAAGAAATGCTATTTCCAAACAAGGCCAAAGATGGGGCAAGGAGAAAGGGCGAGTAAGGGGTGGGGGCATGGGGTGGGTGGGGGCATGGCGAGAGCGAGGCATATAGGCGGGGACGGAAAGTGAGTGAAAATTTTCCTCCAAAAGTAAAAAAAATTGTCCTTATTTAAAGAAATTTAAAATTGAAATTTCGCAAATTGATTGGGCAAAAAGTCGGATTATAATTTGATTAAGCCCAATTAAAGCGTACCACAATCCTACTATCATTGGGAAAAACTAAACTTTCTATGCCCAATACTCCGTATATAAAAGTACAACTGAGCGTACTTTCAAGAAAACAATCAAGTTCATCACACTATATTCAAGAAAACCGAAACAATAATGGACGCCGGAGGACGGATGGGCGTACTGAAGAAGAAGCTCGACGAAGCCAAGACTAAGTATTACCACTTCAAGGCCGTCGTCATCGCCGGAATGGGTTTCTTCACCGACGCCTACGATCTCTTCTGCATCTCCCTCGTCACCAAACTCCTCGGCCGCATCTACTACCACGTCCCCGGCTCCCCCAAGCCCGGCACCCTCCCTCCCCACGTCTCCGCCGTCGTTAATGGTGTTGCCTTCTGCGGCACCCTTGCCGGCCAGCTCTTCTTCGGATGGTTGGGGGATAGGTTGGGGAGGAAGAGGGTCTACGGCCTCACTTTGGTCCTCATGTTCGGCTCCTCCATTGCCTCTGGCCTCTCTTTCGGCTCCTCCCCCCGCGCCGTCATGGCCACCCTCTGCTTCTTCCGCTTTTGGCTGGGTTTCGGGATCGGCGGCGACTACCCTCTCTCCGCCACCATCATGTCCGAGTACGCCAGCAAGAGCAGCCGTGGCGCCTTCATCGCCGCCGTCTTCGCCATGCAGGGCTTCGGGATTCTCAGCGGTGGTGCCGTTGCAATGCTGGTCTCCGCTGCCTTCGACCACGCTTATAAGGCTCCCTCCTACGAGGCCGACCCGATTGCCTCCACCACTCCCCAGGCCGACTACGTGTGGCGGATCATACTGATGTTTGGGGCCCTTCCAGCGCTACTCACGTGGTACTGGAGAACGAAAATGCCTGAAGCCACTCTGGTCGCCAAGAACGCAGAGAGGGCGGCGGTGGACATGCCAAAGGTCATGGAAAAGGATATAGAGGCAGAAAAGGTAGAAACCAATCCCCCTGGAAAATCGTCACTGCCGTCGTTTGGACTCTTCTCAAAGGAATTTGCCCGTCGACACGGGCTGCACCTGGTGGCCACGTGCACCACTTGGTTCTTGGTGGACATGACGTACTACAGCCAGAACTTGTTCCAGAAGGAGATCTTCAGTGCGGTGGGGTGGATCCCGCCAGCGAGGACGATGAGCGCGATCATGAAGGTGTTCAAGATCTCCCGGGCCCAGACGCTCATCGCTCTCTTAAGCACCGTCCCGGGGTACTGGGTGACGGTGTTGACCATCGACAGGCTGGGCAGGTTTGCCATCCAGATGATCGGCTTCACCATGATGACAGTGTTCATGTTCGCGCTGGTCATCCCTTACACCCACTGGTCCATTCCGGGCCAGCAAATATGGTTGGTCGTCCTCTATGCCTTCACCTTCTTCTTCGCCAACCTTGGGCCCAATGCCACAACATTCATGGTGCCGGCCCAGATTTTCCCAGCAACACTGTGGTCCACCTGCCAAGAAATATCGGCGGCTTTCGGGAAATTAGGGGGAATCATGGGGTCCTTCGGGTTCTTGTATCTGGCTCAGCCGCGGGACAAGTCCAAGGCGGACGCGGGGTACCCTGCTGGAATCGGAGTGAGAAATTCTCTCATCATTTTGGCCGTCCTTAACTTTCTAGGCATTTTGTGCACACTCTTGGTCCCTGAATCGAAGGGGAATTCCCTCCAGGAACTGTCCAGAGACGACAACGAAGAAGAAAAAGACTGTGTTAACGAGCAGCAGCAGCAGCTAGAGGAGAAGAAAACGAATACGGTGGAGGGAAACGGAACAATGGCGTCATCTATTCCACATGACACCGCACTTCTCTTTTTAGTTGTCGTTATATGTCATTGCAGTGTCATTAAGGCAATCGGCCTGACATGTCACCACACTCCTACGAACCATTGTGCTCTCCATCAGCGTACCAAAACAATGTCAAAAGTAACACACTATAAATTAAACATACTAACAAGATTAAAGTAATACCGTTTCACCTCACATGGACTCAATGTCTACCATATGCACCAAATTGAGGCGGATGGACTTAGACAGGATTCAGGTCTGAAGAGAGCGACCGGAACACAGGTGGGAAGCCGATGTAGCCATGTAGGTGTGTTCAGAACGTTTGTTCATTTTTATGGTTGTGTTCTTCAGGTCTTCCTTTTAATCAGATCAAAAGCATTGTTTTATCACACATGTCTCTCCCTGCATACCAAGAAAAAAAAATCAAATCTAAATAGAACAACAAGAACAACCCAATTGGATCCCACGAAAAATCAAATCTTAATAATGAAGAAAATTGGGATTTTGAGAGTACGATGGCTTTGACGTAAGCAATGACTTTCAATCAGATGGCGTCAATTGTGGCGTCGTTCATCAGTGTCAATATGTAGTTTGACTCAAAGTTTATACAATAAATCAATAATATAGCGATGACTTTCAATCAGATAGCTAAGAACTTTGCAAAGTACAACCAAATTAAATTAATGTCAATATATAGTTTGACTCAAACTTCATAAAATACGGAGTAAAAAATTAATAGAAGCGGACTAGAATACAAGAACTACCATAATGAATGCAGAGAATAAGAACTTTGTTATTACTGTGTGTTATCGATTATTATCCTCCCTAGAGCTTTTCTGAAGGGATGCATGGAGCAATGATGCTCAAAGGTTCGCACAACCAAGGGTTTCGTCTAGATGTCATCTCAGTGCGGTCGGGTAGTCTCATAAATACAAATTTTTTTTGATAATTCGTAAAAAAAGATCAAGCTATAATAACACCAAGAATTACAACAAAATTGACACCACTAACTATAACAACATCAAGATTGACATCATGTCAAGTTTTTATAAATGATATGAATCATATGATGGACCATTTTCAGCACTCAACGTGTTTATATGGCCATATGATAGTTCATACAGTACTACTAGTTGGAAAATGTCTACTTGTTTATAGCTGAGTGAGCAGATTATACTTGTGCCTTTCATTCCTCAAAAAAAAACTTGTGCCTTTCGTTTTCACGGATTTTTCTTTGAACTTTTAAGGTATTGTCAAAATTATCCTCGCTAAGAGATTTTGGAAGCATTTTTAAGTCCACTTCTTCACAGTATGTTATCCCTCCATTTTTTCACAACATAAAATTAGAACACACCACTTGTGTTGTTTGTTCAAAGTGGAATGACTTGGGATTGGAACCGAGGGTATGCAAATGCAATATCACTCTACCATTTGAGCTAATAGGAAACAAAATATTTTTCAAGGTCAAATAATCCTTAAAAATATGATTGTTTGCTCCCCCTTTGCTCTGAAAAAAAATTAGCTGAAAGCCCCAAATGATAAAACAACAAAAGATCATTGTCATGTGACTGTATTGTGCCACTTATATAGCTTAACAGTGCAAAAACAAGTTTCTCATATTCAGCCAAACCAAAAGAGTGCAACAACTACATAGCAACTTACTTCCAAAAATTTTCCAAAGAAATGCAGCAAACCGGCCCTTCCCAAACATGTAATGCTTCTCCCAACATGTAACCTATGTTGCACGGATTCCTCAAATAGGTGCCACTACCTGTCCCCGAAACGTCCCCGGTCGGGTACTTGGGGGCGTCCCCACACCCAAACCCGTTATAAATTACAAAAAAATGGTGTTTCACGCTTCTGACCCCGCCCCCGTATAAGTCCCTGTCCACGTCTTGGTGCGACTTAGCATGTAACACCCTAAATTTAAAGATCTGATAAATACGATAGAGAAAACCACCTGATAATCTAATCAAACAAATTCAGACCCCTAAATCTTAACTGTTACGATATTGAAATACCTTCTCCCACAATTTGTATTGTTCTTGCGAATTCGGAGTGTCAAAATGTGTCCACAATCACATCGAAAGATTGAAATTTGCCATCTTCGATTGAAGGATAGAATACCCTGAACATATTTACCACATGAAAATCTGATGATTTAATCGAACAACTAATACTCCTAAATCCAAAATAGAATATTAACGCCAAAATCCAGTTCGTGCGTGAACAAAGGATGTTTGTCATCTGAAAATCCGATAATCTAATCGAACAGATCATTTCCTAAATCCAAATTCAAAGTTTACCACAACTCAGATTTACCTTAATTAAAGTCCAATGTCAAACGGTGAACCCTAATCTGAAGGGTTGTGCCATCGGTTTCATATTAATCATATGAAATGATATGATCATATCCATGGGAGACAAATCGATTTGGTTAAAAATTTATATAATGCTTTTATTTTAACTAATTTTGATTTTAATAAATTTAAAAAAATTAAAAATTATTGGACTGCGTACATTTGGGGTACACTTTTGTCCCCCACCCCTTCCTTGCCCACATAATTGGGCAAGAAAATCAAAAACAAATAAATAAATAAAAATGAGTGGTGGAGAAGGAGGTGGCGTACATTTGGGGTACACTTTTGTTGTACCCCTAGCATTGCTCAATAAAGAAACATTGACTTGACGCGGTGTGACCGTGTGACTTGATGAGCTTGAATGATTAGACTTGGAAAATCGGTCGGTCGGGTTCAGGTTTGGTCGGATTTGACCTATTTTTAGCGGGTCATTTCGGGTTTGGTCAATTTCGAGTTCGGTCATCAAAACCTTTGTTCAAAACTCAGTGTTTTCAGGTCGGATTTCAGGTCAAAAACAGACCGGGTCATTTTTGGCCAGGTGTTAGCGTGGTGGCAGGAACGACACCAAATGGCCTTACAAGTGTGCACCTTATCTCTTTAAAATGTTTAGTTTCACCTTTTTTTTGTAATGCCTGGGGTATTTTGGAAAAAGAGTTCAAAAGTTTTACGTTTTGCAATTAAATTTGGGGCAAGAAGAGTATATGTTCTTGTATTGTCAATTTTCCCTATCTAACATTTATTAATAAGACCTTTAGGGGGGCAATATATGAGACTAAGAGCAAAGGAAATGGGGCTGACGCCCCCAGCGTTAAGCGTCTTTTGACGCCCAAAGGGCGTTAAACACCGCCCCCATGGCAGCGTTAAGGGGCGTCAGTTCCACCGCTTTAAAGCTTTGACGCAGCGGCTGCCACTTCTCAACCTTCCCAACGGCTCATTTAGCTGTTACCCACCAAAAAAATTAAAAAAAAAACCTATGAATTCAATCAAAACAAACTTATCTATGACACATCTTTCTATATCTTCTCTCTATAATTCTATCAAATATTCTTTTAAATATTTTTCTATTTAATATTTTTTTGTATAAAATATTTTAAAAATGGGATCATCTTCATCTCATGATGAAAAGAGAGCTCTCATTTTTCGTTGTTTTGCCACGAGTTATTATCAATGGTGGAAAAAAAGCGAACAAGAAGAAGCAGAATCCTCCCGACGTCGGACCCGACGACAACGTTTAAACCGGAATCGAGCGGCTGCCCACACTTCACTTCTCAATGACTATTTCAATACTCCGTGTGTTTATACAACAAAGGGTTTTAGTAATCGTTTTCGTATGGTCGTCCTCTCTTTTTACGCGTACTCGACGATATTGAACGCGAGGTGCCTTAGTTCACCCAACGCTTTGATGCGAGAAGGCGATGCAGGTTTAACAATGTCCAGAAGTGCACTACCGTGCTTCGTCAAATGGCGTACAGGACGACATCTGATATGTTCGATGAATACTTGAAGATGTTGGCTCAGAGCATTAGGTCCAGTGTTTTTAAATTTTCTAAAGCTATTATTCGAATTTATCATAAAAGATATTACTTAAGCCTACAACGAGCAATATTCAGCATTTACAGGCAAAACATGCCACTAAACATGGTTTTGTCGACATGCTTGGGAGCATTGATTGCACGCATTGGGAATGGAAAATTTAACCCGCTGCGTGGCATGGTCAGTTCTCCCGGGTGATCATCCCAAGCCTACTATCATGCTCATAGCTGCTGCTTCAAATGACTTGTGGTTTTGGCACGTTTTTTTCGGTGTCGCGGGCTCGAACAACGATATCAACGTTCTCGATCTATCACCTGTTTTTGCCGATTGGATTATTAATGAGACCGCACCAGACTCGTCTTTTGAGTTTAGAGTGACGCTTTACAAGTGTGGATTTTATTTAGCCGATGGAATATATCCAGATTATTCACGATTGTCAAGTCTCTCTCTGAACCAATGGGTCTTAATAAACGTCAGACCTACAAAAAAGCTCATGAGGCGGCGAGAAAAGATATTAAACGAGCCTTCGAGGTCTTGAAGGCTAAGTGGCACATTCTAGATCATCCGTCCAAATGTTTTTCTCAAACAAAAATGAGGAATATCATGTACGCATGTATTGTTCTTCATAATATGATCATAGAGGACAACGAGTTTGCGATTTGTCAGTACAACCCGGACGAGGAGGTGCCTATGTACGAAGAAATTGACGAAGAAAAGAAACGAAGAAACCGCCAAGAAATTCGAAGCCGAGAGATTTACAATGCACTAACGGCGGATTTGATCGAACATATCTTTGGCCGCTCAAATAATTAGTAATTTGTTCGTAGTGTTGTTTTTTTATGGATGTAATATTTTTTAATGAATGTAATTTTTTTGTTTAATGAATGTATTTTTTTGTGGATGCAATAACTTTTTTAATGAATGTAACTTTTTTAATAAACTATTCTCCTTTTGGTTCTTTTAAATAATTAAATAATTAAATTTTATTAATTTAATTTTAGAAGATTTATATTTAAAATATTAAAAATGAAGGTTTCAAGTCAAAGTTTAAAGCCGTGGGGCTTCAAACTCATTTCTACTGAAAACTATGAGGTAAGTTAAAATTGACGTGACAGAGAGAGAAGGTTTGAAGCCTCGGGATTCCACGGGGTAATTCCAGTGCCCAAAAAGCCATCTCAAAAGTAATACTTTATCTCTTTCAATAAGTTATTCTTGTTTTGGTTTTTAGCCAAAAATAAAAATTGTATATATGTGGTTGATTTTCCAATGTTTCCTTTGATGTGATAAGTAAAAGTAAATATGATGTGGATAGATTATTAGTGGAAAAAATATGGTGTGATAAGTAGAGTAAAAAAAGTATGGGTAAAAGTGATTTTTAATAGAAAGTACAAATATTTTGAAGAAAGAGAAATAGATATTATTAAATCTTATTTAGGGAATAAAAAAGTTTAAGTGCTACATTAGAAAATGACTTATGTTTTAGTCCTATTTAGTGCAAATTTCATATAATAAAAAATAATGATACTATATTGGAAAATTGTGCCAAAAATTCAGTATAAGTAAACTAATGAGGAAACAAGTCTTCTTATTACTTTATTTATATCAATTGATGTGATAAGTAAAAGTAAATATGATGGATAGATTATTAGTGAAAAAAATATGGTGTGATAAGTAAAGTAAAAAAAGTATGGTAAAAGTGATTTTTAATATAAACTACAAATATTTTGAAAAAAGAGAAATAGACATTATTAAATCTTATTTAGGGAATAAAAAAGTTTAAATGCTACATTAGAAAATGACTTATGTTTTAGTCCTATTTAGTGCAAATTTCATATAATAAAAAATAATGATACTATATTGGAAAATTGTGCCAAAAATTCGGTATAAGTAAAGTAATGAGGAAACTAAGTCTTCTTATTACTTTATTTATATCAAGAAATTACATAACTCAAGTACAAAATGAATCAAAACCCACACTCGCTTTGTTGTCACAGTATTTGTTATCTCCGCCATCCCCAATAATCTGTCATAGCTCAATGTCACATATTTCCAAACTCTAATTGAACTATAAAAAAAATACAAATTTAATGCACAAAATTGCATTTTTTCTTTTATATAAAACAAACATCATGTGTCATTAATTATGTTGGTTATGTAAGGAGTCTGGTCCGCATATAGAAGGCATGAAATTGTTAACACTTGGGGAGATCAGAAGGTGGTGGAAGCAACTTCTGGTTTGGAAGATTCCCATCCTCCACAATCCATGCCATTTTCAAACCCCAGCTAAGGTGCACCTCAAAGTGACAATGCATAAACCACACACCTGCAAACTCGTGACATCTGTGTTAATAAAACTGTGGTAATCTTTTTGAGACAAGGAGAGTATTAAGTAACTAACGCAACCAAAAGTTAATCTTGTGGTTGACTACGGGGGACAGAGGGAGTACAGTGGTTACCGGGATTGTCAGCTCGGAAGCGAATGGCAACCCACCCACCAGAGGGAACGCTGACGGTGTTTCGTTCAACGGGGTCCACGAGGTTGTACTTGGCCGGATCTCTCTTGGGATCAAAGTTTGCGAACCCAAACCCGACGACGTAGAAGTTGTGCCCGTGGAGGTGGAGGGGGTGGCTCTCTGCACCCAGAATGCTGGTGTCCTGCAACACCAGCTCCACGGTGGTGTTGAACGGGAGCACCACCACTTTCGTGCCCTTGGCGACAGCGGTGTTGTTGGGGGGAACACCGGTGTAGTTGAAAGGCACGAGAGGGGAGGTTGGGAAATTGGTAGTGTAGACGCCTTTGGAGTTCTTGGAGTAATGGGCTTGGAGAAGCGCCGTGGTGGGGGTAACAAAAGACACATTGTTCACCGAGGCCGCAAATTTTGTGCTATTACTTGGCCCCTGCATCCATGTTGGCATCAAATTAGGCTTAATTTGATTACTCACTTTTTTGCTTAATTTGATTATTTTTTAAATAAAAAAGAATTTTTTTTAGAAATTGCATGGTTACCTCTAAACATTAAAAAGTATACCGGTTTCCCTCGAAATCTTTGAAAATTGCACGATTTAACCCCGATTATTAAAAAGTACACAAAATACTCCTGAATAACTTAAAATGTTGCACCGTTGATCCTAAAATGCTAGATATGGAGTGTGTTGCTCTCCCTCACAAAAGTTGGAGTATGATTAATCTGACCTTTGTAAATTTTTCAAAGTATTCCCCAAAATTATTGTCTTTATTTAAATGTTCAGGAGTAAACCGTGTAATTTCCAAAAAGTTCAAGAGTATTTGGGATACTTTTTAATATTCAGAGATAAATCGTACAATTTATGAGGAATTTAGAAGTATTTGATACACTTTTAATATAAAGAGATAAACTGTATAATTTTCGAAGACTGGAGAAGTACCCGGCAAGTGTGGTTTTTGGGGCAGGGACTGGTTCCAAGGCCAACGGTGAAGAAGAACTTTTTATGCACAGTCTTGGGGACATTCGCCGGGAACTCTGCACTGTCCAAACTGCGCAGCTTTCTGACAAACCCCGCCACGGAAGACGTGCTGTTGATCGGAGGCAGCGAAAGGCGGCGGTAATCCACGGTGGTTGTGCCGGTGGCCGCCGAAGAATAGTCTTCGGCCGCCGCGGCATACTCCAAAATTCCGACGACAGTGGAGTTGTCAAACGTTCCCAGGCCGGTGAAATACGGCCTGGCCGCAATGGCGAAGGTTGGGTTCGTCCGGCGATGATGATGATGAGCCGCCGCCGCCGTCGTCGGCTTTGCGCGGAGGAGCACGTTCATGGTCTGTCCGGGCGATATGACCACGATGTCCGTCGCGAACGGCTTGACGTAGACGGCGTCGACTTCAACCACGGTTAACGTGTGGTTGGCGATCGTGACGAATAGATCTTCCTCCAATGCGGCGTTGACCATCCGCAATAGATACGTCTTCCCCGCTTTCACCGTCAACTTAAACGTCTCTGCGCAACCCCACAAACCATCAACTATTTTTAATAAACGTCTAAAATGGAAGTGTATAGTTAACACATATAATGGTCATTTTGTTTGAGTGGTTATGGAAGACATTGTTCAAAATTAGATACATGCGATGTTCCGTTCGCAAAATGGATAGTTCTTGCCTTCTTATATTTCGATAGACCCCTCACCCAGACTGACACCAACTCATCCTTCAGTTCATATCAATTGAACTCCACAAGTTTAGTTAACTTTATGGTTAAAAGTTTTTACTCCAAAGACAATTAAACTAAACTTACGAGAAGCAATTGATGTGAGTGGGAACGGGTTGGCATCGAGATTGGGTAGAAGGGTTTATTAGAATAAAGAGGTATGAACTGTAAATTTTACGAACAGAGGATCGTATTTTCACTGTCCTCGGTAGCCACTCAAACAAAATGACTATAGAACCGGCTTGCATCTTTATTTACCTTTTGCAGAGCAATTGTAGGATGGACCAGGAAGGCCATTTATGGTGTATGCATCAGATACATTCGGTCCGCCTCCAGTCCTAAGGGCCTCATTGATGACCGCCTCTGTATCTGAATTCCACCACTCGCCTGCATCCAATTTAATTTAATTGATGATCAATGTTCGTCTAATTTAACTATTAAAAAAATTAAAAGTGAATGGTGGTGAGTATTACCAAATATGATTGGGACTTGTTTGTGGGGCTTAGGGAAGGGGTAAGAAGAACCCAATTTAGGAAGGATGACAATTGGGCCATAGAGTGAGACCCTTAGCCATGAAATGTGAGCATGCCAGAAAAGAGTCCCTCTTTGCCCTGCAATGGTGAAATTGTACACATAACTATGCCCTGTTTGGATTGGGCATTGTGTTATGTACGCCGGCCCGTCTGCCCAACCACTTTGAAGTTGTCGAATTCCATGCCTGCACCAAACACACCTTTATATTTAGTTTCTACCTTAACCATCATCAATCACTAGTACGGTCGATACAAGTTGTTTGGAGTAGTTAATTAGGCTAAATAGATAGTTAAGCTTGAACTAATATTTATTTAAGAATCGGTTCCGTTGAGAATAATTTCGGGTCACACTACCGCGCAAAACTACTTAGTTAGTTGGACAACTATAGTCATCCGATCCCAAAGTTGAGTGTTCTTATTTCTAACCCCCTAAACCCGTGGACCACCATACTCTTCCTAATTGGCAACCCATCCAGGGGGAGTTGGAATGGTTGGGGGTAGGGGGGTTGGAGATGTTTGGAGATAAGAACTATCATTTTTGCGAACATATATAGTACCGTAAGTGTCCCAAATAGAGTAATGGTCGATCAACGGGATCCAACAGGCAATGTCACTGCACCTCCATCTATTTATTTACTCTCTCCGTCTTAAAATTAATTTCTCAGTTTGGCTTTCGTGGTCAAACTTTTTAAATTTTGATCACATATTAAAAAAATCAAATTTTATTTTTATATAAGTTTAATAGCAATAGGTTCATTTTAAAACATAGTTTTAAACTACTTTATTTTTATACTGCGTAATACGGAGTATATATTTATATATCAATAAAAATATTAATGGTCAAAATTTTACACTGGAAACCATTAAATGTCAAATAAAAAATTAATTTTAGGAGAAAGTGAGTATAATTAATGAATTAATTTGCTTACCAATGGATGGTGATATTGTTGGAGACATGATTTACCACCTTGACTACAACCCTATCGCCCTCTCGAGCAATAATTCCAGGGCCAGGGAACTTTCCGTTGACTGTCACCAGACTCTTGGTATGACACAATCGTGTTACATTTTGGAGACGAATCTGTACGTTCAAACCAAAAACAATCTTGTCAAAATTAGGTGGTTTGAACTCATAAAAACCTCATTAATATTAACGTTTTGGATAAAATTATGATAATATAGATTAATTTTATATATAAATAATAAACGCTAAAATTAAATTATAAAACTAAGTAGAGTGATTTGATGATATCATAAAACTAACTCAACTTCAACCTGGAACTTGTGTTGTAAGCCTAGTAGGGATTTTATACTTTAAGAGTGTCAAATCTTGCCAGGAGTATTGATTAAGGTTCCGTTTGGTACGCGAAATTCAAACTATGAAATTGGAATTGGAGACAACATTTTCAATTCTGATGTTTGGTAGCACAAAAATATACGGATTTGGAATTAGTAGTACCAAAAATAAATTAGAATTAGGGTCCGTTTGGTATACAGAATTGATGGGATTGGAATTGAATTGGAATTGAAATTCCATAAGATTCAATTCCATAGAATTGAATTCACCCATTCCAATTCATTTTTTGCACTATCAATTCCAAATCCACATAATTTTTGTGCTACCAAACATCAAAATTGGAATTGAAGTCCTTAATTCCAACTCCATAATTTGAATTCCATGTACCGAACGGGGCCTTAGAGAATTCAATTCTATAGAATTTAAACTCTCAGTTCAATTCAAATTCGGTCAATTCTATATACCAAATAGACCCCAAATGAACTTCTCCCCTGGCTTGAGTGGTAGCAAGCCCACTCCCCAGGATTCATGGGGAAGTTCACCCAGGTTCGAGCCCCAGCGAAGGCAGCAGCATTGGCTCTTTGTCTGTCATTAGCTTGAGAATAGTATGAACAGATACTACCTTGTAATAGAGTCAATAGCATTCAAAAAAAAGACCCCAAATAAATAATTAATTAAATCTTATATACGGAGTATAGAACTGAAATTAGGGTTTCTATCTAGGAAAACAGATTATGTGTTACTCTAATATACAACACATTTTAGTTAAATTTATACAAAGTAAATTTATTATCAAATTCTACACTAATTTTTCAAATATATTGAATTAGAATATAAGTTCGACCAAATATCGTAAACCATAATAGGACTTTCATTTTAAGATAGAGGGAGTATAACTATTCTTACGTTTTGATGTACACCGCATAACTATCCAGATTCTCTAGAATGAAACACAACAACTTAAAAATGAATAAACCTAGGGGTACATCAAAATGGGGTACCTCATTTGTACATCAGGCAAACACAAACATTTAGTGTGTGTAGATCATAGACACTAAGTATCTGTGTTTGCCTGATGTACAAATGGGGAATTCCATTTTGGTATACCCCTAGCATGCCCCATTAAAAATTCACCATATCAAATACCCGCAAATATTAATAAATCAAATCAATCAAAAACTCAATCCTACTAACATGTTCTCTCTAAGGTACGCGTGGAATGGTAGACATTTAGTTAGTGGCGGTGGACATTTACTTAAACAATAGCTATTAGACATATAATGATCAGTGCTACTACATTGAAGAATAAAAAAGTATGATATTACATTGAAAAAATCACTATGTTTTAGTACTATTTAGATAAATTACCCGAAACATTATTGAACAATTAAGAATGAGTAGGAAATGAAGAATGAACATACGTCAAACTTGTAGTGTCGTGTGACAGATGCATGGCCGCCGCCTGCCGCCGCCATTGCCACTTGAGGAAACAAGAAAAGGGCGCGGAAGCTTACGACGATGATGAGAGAAAAAGAAGCAAAAACGGCATTATGACAACGGAACAACATATTTCCCCGCGACCACCCAGCAATTCAATAATAAATAAATAAACTCTCTCGGCCTTTTTTCCTTTGTTCTACACTTTATAAATTTCAACATACACTCTTAGATAAATCTTATTGGCTTAATTAGCCTCTCCATCACTGATTTTGGTGATTATTTATAGTACTCCCATCCGTAGTGGTATATGGATAGGTAATATTATATTGAGGCGCAAAAGAGTTTGATTGATTAGGTAATAGGCCGGACATATAACCTACTCCCTCCGTCCCAAAAAGATCTTCCTGTTTCATTTTTTGCGCGTCTCATAAAATACTTCTATCCCGCCTCAAATGCAAAAAAAAACTTTCAAAACAACTTCTACTTACAATAAATGAGAAATGTGGTAAATATTAGGCATTTTAGATGTGTATAGAAGTGTTTTATAGGATGCGCGAAAAATGAAACATGAATATCTTTTTGGGACGGAAGGAGTACTTATTATTAGCTTTTTATTATGGCTAACAAAAAATGAAGATGAATCTCATCTCCGAAGGCCTCCTCATACCCGGTCGGACAGTCACTAAGAGAAGGTAAATTGGATTTTGATTGTTGATTAGTGTCAAAGAGTGAAGCCGGCCTGCACCTAGTACTTACATATGCACAAGTTATATGTTTAGCATAGTTGTCTTCCAACGCAGTTGTCAGAAATTGAACTTGAGTCTTACCTCTTGACACTTTTTGTATTTGCCAACCGTGCAACGCCCGCGGGGAGTTTATTATTATGGCTCAAGAGTCAAGTGGAAGTGTAGATGCATGGTCCATCTCAATTATAATAAAATTTTGAGTGTTGTTAAAGTGAATCAACACTTTGGAGAGACATATTCACCGGCAACCGTACATACTCTCAATTCTATAGAAGCACCCCACCCAACCCCCCAACCCCAATCCTTTTCGAGATTAGCTACACATTAGGTAATTGAATAGTGCTTCCCCTCGCAAGTCTCAAAAACATTTTAATTCATTTTATACAAAAATTGATATAAAAATAAAAAATAAAATATGTATTTTTGAAAACATCATCAAAAAATTTATAGAATAAAAATTGATAAAAATATTTTATTTTACCAAATAATTAATGAAAATACAAAAAATAAAGAAAAGTTTCTATTATTTTCAATCGTGGAGTGTCTCAATCTTTTTTGGATGGAAGAAGTATCATCACATATCCTTTTCATTAAAGCATCTTTAATACTTCCTCTGACCCCAATTTGTAATCGAATTGGGGTTTATGAGGAAAAATATCTCATCTTTAAAAATTATTTTATTTATAAATCGGTATATCGATAACAAGTAAAAATTTTATATTAAAAAACTAAGTCAAAATTTCTACAAAACAAGAGGTGGCAATTGACAAGAATATTTTATTTTATCAAATACTTAATGAAATCGCGTAAACAAACAAAAGTTATTGAGAAGAGAGAGAGAAAATTGTAATCAAATTGGGGATGGAAGGAGTATAATGTTCTTATAGAGTTGTTTCACCTATAAAATGTGACGTGGAGCACATATAGAGCATTAGTTGCTTGAGAGCATGAACAATGACATGTGATATACTGGAATGCCACACGCTAACATGACACTCTTCAACCAATCAAAAAGAGTCTAGTCACACAGTGGCATGGCATTAGAGTGGCTTATCATGCAATCAACATATACTTCACACATCAAGTAATCACACAATTTACTTGGCACTTTCTCATTTCCATCCTCAACTCGAGGTTGGTGGATCACCAAGAACTTGTCCCTAAAATATATTCTAAATTAAGGACTACTACTTCCTTTTGGAGTCATGATTGTTCCCACTAGATCAGCGGGTCATGCTCAATCAACAAAGGTGTTCCCTGTTGGGTGGGTGGAATCCCCACCTCATAGATCACCAAGTAGTTCAAGGATACTCGTACGTATGTTTTAACCCGATTAACTATTAGACCCAGTAGGCTCCACATGACTTACTCTCTACTATCTTAATACTAAGTCAGTCCTAAAGTTCCTCTGGGTAGACTTACCTCATTCAAAGTGTTGGATATTTCGGTTCTGGTCCTGTTTTGCCAGATCTACGTGTCAGACTTGTATACCGGCAAACGTAACCAAGGTACCGCCACCCGGTACCAGAATATCATGAAGAATAGTGACCAACAACACCAAACAAAATGTGGCAGTAGCTCGCTACCGTTCGTACGGCAGTAGATACCGACCAGAAGCAGTGAATGGCAGAGTGGATTGAACTATAGCGGTAGCTCGGTACCAAACTACCATCTAATGACTATAACCTGGTACAACATGACTTTCTAGCATTCACCACTGTTTCCAAGTCCCGAATTTAATCTTATTCACATACAACAACATATGGTTATTATATCACATATGGAGTACAACATATCCAATAGTCTTGCTATGCCTAAATTATGCTTCTACCTATTCAATCTTATTGAACGACCCAAATCCCTTAACATGCGGTTCATACAAGTTTCATGTAATTCAACCAACATAACGATACAAACGGACATTTCAAACCTAAAATATTGTTCTAATGCTAGGGTTCCATGTACTCACCTAGAAACAACGGGAGATTAAACTACGACAAACGAGAGACTTACGATGAAGAGCGGCGGGGGCAACGGTCATCTTCTTCTTCTTCTTCTACTTCTTCTTCTTTTCCACTGGGTAGTTTCCCAATCACCAGAGAGAGACGAAGACGAGAGGATTACGTGAAAGGCGTGCGGTGTGGGGAGGGTTTAAACGCACGCATGTCTATTTAAATACCATAGAATTTGTGCTTCATAATTAAAATAATGCACCTTAGGAAAAATATATTTTTTAGGCCAACTTGCTCCAAATTAAGATTTGTATGCACCATTGGATTCGTATCGTTGAACCATACACAATGGTATAATTTTTGTAAGTAATTGGCAAATATTTCTAATTAACCCTGGGTCTATCTCAGTAATTAATTAATTATTTCTAATTAATTTATTAATTTTGATAGGCCGGGTTTTGGGATCTTATAGATTGATTTTGAGACCTTAGATGTTGGCCGAATGACGGTAAGTGGAAGGTGTTTATACTCAACACTGGACTGCTATTTGTATCATACGATGATTATCTAATTGTTGTTATCCTCTTGATATGCCTCGAATGAGTAATGTAAAATAAGGTTGTTCTTAGCATGAACATGATTATAGTCTTGTGGACTTAGTGTCCAGTGGTTCAGACCTGTAGGATTAGAGGTTCCACCCAACCAACGTCGTACATACCATGTTGCTCAGAATCATAGTCGTAGGTAGTTTCCCCAAGTCATAGACTAGACTTGAGTCATGTTCGTAGATAGTGGTTTTAAGTCTTAAGATAAGATTGTGAATAACGAAGAGTTATCCTTAACCTAGTATAGGTTATGAGAAACTGTTAGAGATGAGCTACTCTAAGAACATGAATGTTGAATTGATAACTAATGCATCAAAACAGTCAAGGTAAGTAACATGAAATGTGATTTGAATGACATTGCTATTATACTTTGATGTTGTTATGCGATACTACCTGTGCACGGCATCCTATGAATGATTATGTATGTTGAATTTATCTTATATGTGACTTCTTATTAGGTACTCTCACTTAGCGTGAAAACCGAGTATGTAGTTTGTTTTACTTGTTACACGTAGGTAAAAAAATGACGGATAAAGAAACAATCTTGGAGGGCAGCAGGGATGAGATGGTGTGTGGATGCAGATTGATGAATAGATTTAATTAATATTTAGTCTGGATTAATTGTGTTTTTCGGGTAAGTACAAAGCTTCCACACCGTTTTATTTTACTCAGAGGGGTGTTTAAATGTTGTTATGAATTAAATATTTTAAAGTGTTTCGGAAATATGATGTGTTCGGATATCGATCTAGTGACAACCTAATCTGCTAGCTCATGTATTCGGGTTATTACACGGGTTGGGAGGTTACATTAGGAGATGCATGAATGCATGGCTGAGTATTTTGTTTGTTAAAAGTTTCAGTTGAACTTATTACTTTTTGGGCATGAACCCAAAGTGTATTTAGAATTAAGTACTTAAACTTCTACACTGTTTGATATTACTCTGATGAATTTCGAAATAATGTTTTAATTTAACTATTTTAAATTATTTTGAAAATTATTATGTATAAATGCCAATTTAGTAGCAACTCCGTTCCCGAGTCCATGTATTTGAGTTACGCGGATTGAGGTGTCCCTATAATAAAGTCTAGCATTTGCAGTGGTCCCTTTATGGCCTTCGATAAGCCAATACACAATGTTTCTCCAAACTAAGCATTGTCTTTCATGCTCAGGGGTTTGTTCAATTTAAGTGCTTGTTATCACTTGGGAACTCTGTTGAAAAATTGGCCCGCTAGTATACCTAGGAGGAACTGAACTGGATAGTTTAATCACCAATAGGATTGTTGTTAGGTTCGAGCCTTGTGGAGCATGTTTGTATATCTAGTGGTCCAGGGTTCAAAACGTACGTACGAAAGTCACTGTTTTAGCTAAGGGATTCCTTGGTAGGGACTCCAACCCGCCCATTAAGGATTCTCTTTGGGTTTGTCCGAGCATCGGTCTCGAGGGATCATCTCGAGTGTCCGTAACTCTAGTATGTTGAATTTAACCTTAGTGGTGTAGGGTCGGAATTAGGCCATTGAGAATAAATGAATTGGAACTATTGGAATTCTTGTATCTGAAAGTAAATGCGAAATATTCACTAATGTTGTTGATTATATAAATGAGATACTATCTGTGAAATTGATTCTAGCGTTAAATATTTTTCTCACCCATCTTTCGGTTGAGCGTGTAATCTTGTTATTTTTTATTGCACGCAGGTAGGGATTTGGATCAGGAGGACCAGCCCGGAGGACGTTGATACATGACGTCGTGGATGACGTCATCTTTTCCATTTATGAACATTTAATTAATATGTTTATTAATTGCTTGGTTTAAACATTGATTGTACAACGTTTTTTTAAATGCTTCCGCACATGATGGACTTTACTTCGAACTTTTCATATTTAATTTGGTGTTTGGATGTTTTGGAATAATTTGTCTAAATTGTTGTGCTGTGAATACCAATTTAGT